CTGAGTATGTTTTCTCTCATAATTTTAGAGATGGGTCGGCTGTAAAGTACAATCACCAATGTCTTTAGCCATGGTTCTATCAACTATTGTTTTCACAGTTTTGAAGTATAACAAATGTTTACAGTAGTAACTGCATGCCTCTGGGGGGGCGGCTCAGCAGACGTATTTCATACTTTTGCTGTAGCATGTGTTTCTACCACAAATATCAAGTGATCCATGTGTGGTGCACAAGGCAATCTTAGTAACACTTCACTCCCTAACTACTTTTGTCTGAGAGGGAGGTGTTTCACAATTGAATATGATGTATCTGAAAAGTGGTCCATGAGGTTAAGCAAAGCGAGTATTTCAAGGAAAACAGTAAGTTAAACAGAGAAAGCAAAGCCCCAGGTATGAAAAAATTTTAAAAGCCAAAGAAGATTCTAGATGAAATTTTCAAGTGTGATTACGTTTCTCTGTAAAAGCTGGGTTTTCTGTTCGATCCAACAGGTGGCACTATGCTAGCACCAGGCCTCAGGGGAAGGGACGCTAGATGGCTACCAGGAGCCGTCACTTTCAGGCCAGGAAGAGACGTTGATTTGTAAGCTCACTCTATGGACTTAAAAAACAAAACAAACCAAAACCAGCCCACAGCACCTCTCACAAGAAGGCACTTAATAAAGCATCCTCGATGAGGCGCATGTCAATCACTCCTCCAGAAGCACACTCATTCATTCCCTCACCGCTCTGTCAAGTTTATTGAGGACTAATGTGTGAGAGCCAGGTGTGGCACTGCGACAACAGTGAGGAAAATGATGGCCCTGATCTTAGGCGCGTTGTTTCATGGGGGAAACACGAGCCACTGAAAGCTCACGCTAACAGAGTAATCACAATTTGTGGTGAGTGATTCAGATGGAAAATACAAGCCAAGGCGCAGTACAGCTACCAAGACAAGGTAAATCAAGGCAGAAGAGCCGTGCAAAGACAGCCCAAGTTCTGTGCAGGCGAGTGAAGAACTGTCGAGAAGGTTTAAAAGCCAGGCAAATCTCCGTGAGTTCGAGGCCAGCCTTGGTCTACAGAGTGAGATCCGGGACAGGCATCAAAACTACACAGGGAAACCCTGTCTCGAAAAACCAAAATAAACAAACAAACAAACTAACAAATAAATAAATAAAAGCCTGTTTATTAGGACATGTCTGTGACCCTCTGAAAAATCACCTGTCTCTTCATGGGTGCTAGTAGACACAGCATTATACTTCATCTAAGTCCAGGATGGATTCCAGCTTTCTCTCAAATGGCTTTCCTTCCTCTCTAGCCTTTCCGCCTCACAGTGCAGGAATTCCACCAGAAACTGCATGGTGGCCTGCACTTTCAAAGTTCTGGAACATGCTTTTCCTCTTGCTGAGTCCTTTCTTATGAAATAGCCAGAAACTCAGACTGTCTCAAAGCTGACCTGCTGCTCTCTTACCCTGTCACTCAGATCTCCAGAGCCTGCTCCAACTGCCTTGCAGTCCTGTCTCTCACAAGCCCTGTGGACAGAGACGGACACCTGCCACCACTGGAGTCGTCGGCCATCCCCTTCCTGGCCTGTGCTCCGTGCGTTCCAGCTGTCCGAAGTGGAGTTTGCACTTGTCCGTTAGCAATCTCCTCTCTAATAGTCACCTTTTAAAAAAGATGTTAAAAGTCCTTAAAAAATTATTCTTTTTCTTCTTTCCATGCGCACGTAGTATGCATGTATATATACATATCAAATACGTGTGCATATGCGTGCATGCGTGCGTGCGTGCGTGCGTGCGTCTGTCTGTCTGTCTGTCTGTCTGTCTGTCTGTCAGCCCAAGGTTGATAACAGGAATCTTCCTCATTCTTCCACCTTATTCTTTGAGGTAGGGTCTCTCAGTCAGACCCAGAGCTGGATGGTAAGGCTAGTCTGGCCTTGCTCCAGGGATCCTGTCTTCACCTTCCCAGGCTGGACTTAGAGGTGGCCCCCTCACCCTCTTGGCATTTGCATGGGTGCTGACGACTCAAACTCTTGCTTGCACATGAAGAGCTGTGACTGCCAAGCATCTCCACAACCTGTCAGGTCCTTTTTAAATTCTATTTTGTGGGCATTGGTGTTTGCCTGCATATATATCTGTGTGAGGGTGCCAGATCCCCTGGACCTGGAGGTACAGACAGCTGTAAGCTGCCATGTGGGTGCTGGGAATTGAACCTGGGTCCCTGAAAGAGCAGCCAGTGCTCTTAACCTTTGAGCCATATCTCTGGCCCCAAAAAGGTCTTTTTAAAAATGACAGAAACACTGAGGCTATAAAAACACAAATAATAATTCTTTTTAAACGAACTTATCTCCAAAATGAAAGAGTGTTATCTCTCTGTTATTCCTTCCATGTTAAAGACTTTGTTTCACCAATCTCTTCAAAGAACCTGGTCTCACTGGGTTTGTGAGGAAATTTCCCACACTGGGAGATTGCTCATCTTCAGGTTCCAGACTTGCGGATGGCAAAGCAGTCCTTCTCCTGTCTGTCAGCAGTTAGTCTGAGTGTTCCAGTTTCCGGTGTGGTAATCTGTACTTCTTCCAGCCTTTGCCTGGACAGATGTGGTCTACCCACACGGCTGTGGTTTCAGCCCGAAGGCCTCGATGGAACATCTCCATTAAAACATGATGTGTGGCAGGTAAACTATAAAGGTGTGCATGGTGGCAAAACAGTTCTGAAATATCAGAACATGGGGCCTCCTTTCTCTTTACCGTATACCACCCTTCCTTACACTTCTAGAGGTTTTCCGGGTGCCTTAGTGAGGCTTAGAGTTGTTATGCCAAGAAACGCAAAGAAAGAGGAAACCGGAGAAGGGAAAGTTAAAATCAGCTACTAAATAGAATTTTCAGACATTTTAGCCAAACAGTAGTTTAAATAGCTGAACTTCGTAAGAGAGAAGGTATGCTACACAGTCGAAGATTCCTTTTCTTTGTTTGTTGGCAACAGAATCAGCTAACCTCGGAGTTTTATGTCAGAAGTTCTGGAGCGGGCAGACAGAGGAAAACCTACCCTGCTAATCCTACTACACTCGTTGGGAAAAACAGGGAAAGATGAGGGAGGTCACAGGCTAACGAGAGTATGGTCTCCCTTCTCCTGACCCTGCCTCAATCAGCTTGGTGGGGAGAAGGTGGAGGGCTCCTGAAGACCCCCATCTTTGGGGCTCTGGGAGGGCCTACCTGCCATGTTACCTGGTCCCTAAGAGTGACTACAAGGTTATTTAGGGAGAAAGGTTGAGTGTAATGCCCTGGACTGCCCCCAGGACCACAGACGAGAAGTAGCTGAGCTGACTGAGCTGAGAGCCAACAGGCCTCCGTGTGCCAAGCATCACGAGCGAAAGGTGAGTCACCCGCGAGGTGGGGGTGGACACTCTGGGGAAGAGCCAGATGGAGGATGTGGGGTCAGAGTCCCAGCCAGAACAGCACTGAGTCATCAGGGAACACACGCAGGTCCTTCGAAGCCAGGAAAGAGCAGACCACGGGCACTGGAGACTGCCTCAGCAGCAGGTGCCTGCAAACAGCCTAGGAGCAGAGCCAGGCAGTCTCTCCCTCACGGGTGAAACGCCGGACTATCCAGACCACCCACCTAGCAAAATTCATCGAAGATGGAGGAGCTAGGAGTGGACCCGGGAAGCCCATCCTCTCTCTGTCCCCAAAGAATCTGTTAGCCATAACCTCCAACCCAGATTGGATATTCAAAAACTAAGAATGTTTTATGTTCCATCCTGGCAGGGTGGACCGTTCACTTGATGTGTCTACTTAAGTTCTTTCATTCAAATGCCCCCCCCCCCGCCCCCCATTCTGCGGCTGGAGATTCAGAACAGAGAAAATAATTTTAGAGAAACAAAGATAGGACATCGTCTCTGCACATCTGTGAGTGGGGTGACAAAAATCTGCACCCTTCCTCACACATGAGCACTGCCAGCCCTTTCCATCCTCCTCCCGCTGCTAAATTGGGTGCTTCTTGGGCTGCTCAGTCCCTCCCATCCACCCACATGCAACTGTGCAGAAGAGCTCAGAGGGTCCAGACCAGCTCTTTGGGCTTTTGGGTGCAAAACAAAGCTGATGGGAAGGAGGCAGGAAATGGATAAGCCACAGGAGTGCATTCTAAGGAGAAACAAAGAAAGAACAAGTTTGTCTTGAAAGAGCCTCGAGAGGACAGAGGCCATGAAACGTGTCCAAAGGTGTTGGAGAGGAAGACAGGCACATAGATGCCAGCGCGTGTACTCTGGGGAAATGTACTCTGGGGAAAGGCAGCAGGGCCGGTTACTGTTGCACTTTAGAGAAGACACAAGACGGATTTGGGTAGGAGTTGCCGTGGGCTCCGTTCTTGTGTCTTTGCCATTCCCTGAGATTTAAGGGAGTTCCCATCAAGACTGTTTCTTTGAACCCCATTTAGTCGCCAATGTACAGAGATCCCAGCCTTGACAGGTTGACAAGCACAGTGCCCTGATGCTATGTAAGAGATGACTAATAAGATCCAAGACTCTCAACTGGGGGGGGTGATTTTTGTCTCCTAGAGGACATTTGAGACATGCTCTGATGTATCCCAGGCGGGCTTCAAACTCATTATTTAGCTGACAATGACCTTGAACTTAGTTTTGTTCTGCCTCTGGGGCTGAGTGCTGAGATTACGGGAACTTGCCACTTCTCCTGGATTTATGCAGCTCTGGGCATTGAACCCAGGGTCTTGTGCGTGCCAGGCAAGCACTGTGACAACTGATCTACATCCCCAGCTCCTGAAGACATTTTCAGTTGTCACAACTGAGATATGCTAGCGGCATACGGATAGAGGCTGAAGGCACCGCCAAGCATCTTGCACTACACAGGACGCCTCTCCACAGCCAAGTGTCCCAGGTAGAAAGAAGCGTGACCAAGAAATGCTCGTTTCCTTACATCCCTTTCTAGTAACAAAAATAAAGACAGCTTTTCTCGTTTTCAACATTCTTTCACATTTGTGATATTCTTTTTGAAAGTGTTGATCGTATTTATTATTTGGTGTGTGTGTGTGAGAGAGAGAGCGCGCAGGAGATGGGGGGGCAGCACCCAGTCACAGGTACATGGTACTTGTGGAGGACAGACGACGAGTACTTTGGGGAGTGGTTTCTCTCCGTCTACCAGGTGGGTCCTGGAAATGAAACTCAAATTGTCATTCTTGGCGTCAGGTGTTTTACCTTCTGGGCCATCTCATTAGTAACTCATATCAGTCCTTATCCGGTAATCTAGATAGAAACTGGGTTCCTAACAACCATTAACGTGGAAGAATTCCTGTTTCATTCCAGACCCAGATTTGAAAAAAGAAAGTTATAGAAAATCTTATTGAATGTCTGTACATATGTTGTATGTGTTCGTGCGTGCGTGCGTGCGTGCGTGCGTGCGTGCGTGCGTGTGTGTGTGTGTGTGTGTGTGTGTGTGTGCATGTAGAGGCCTGAGGCTTACCTCAGGAATCTTCCTTTGCTGCTCTCCACACCACTCCATTAATCTAGCTTGCTTCAGGGATACCCTACTTCAGCCTTCCACCTTCCCAGAGCTGGAATTATAGGCAGGCTGCCATGGCTGCCCAGCATTTTTGTGGGTTCTGGGGATCGGAACACTGCTGAGCCAACTCCCTGGCTGTTACCAGTATAAAACAAGCACACAGATGGAACAGCTGTCGTGACTAAGACATGATGGCAATGGACAATTATGGCTTCTTCGCATCCTTTGCTCTCGAAAGAGAATTCCCAGAATCCAACTCTTTGCCCGGTCCCTCCCACGTACTTCCCCACAGGGACTAAGCACTTTGTTTTGCTTTGCTGTAGGTACTAGATTCATTAAGAAGGATTTCTGGGGTAAGGGGTTAGGAAACGGTGGCATATTTAATTTCACATTTCTCTTCGAATCTCCCTGGCTGGGTTCTCATCAGCCCTCTCTACTCTGGCAGCCTTAGGCTTCAGTCCTAGGAATCTATACTATATAGCTTTAAAAACAAAACAAACTAGAATGCTCACATTTTTGGTGGTCACTGGTTCAATTATTTCAATAGGCTACAAATTTATCCAAACCCTATTTCTTTTCTGCCTATATACCCTTGTCTTTTCTCTGAAATGACGTCCCATGTTTAGGAAATAAATACCAACATCTCATCTATGAGGGCCAAGATATTGGGCTGCCTTGCTCCAAGCCCCTACATTTCTCTATAGGAACATACCAAGTCAAGGGCCCAGAGGCAGAGCACATGGCCAGAGGGCAATCGCCAGCAGGCTTGGTCCGGCACCAACGCCACCAAAAGCAGCTACATTATTGCCTCTACTACCCTTGGTGGAGACCTACCTTTCTCCTTCAGTAGCAACAAACAGCAAGCAGGGCCACCCTTGGTGACTCCAGACCATTGTCCATCAGGTGATTTGTGAATGAACAACTTGGCCCCTATGAAATGGGGTCATAGCATCAGCACATAATGTGCCAAAGTTAAAGGTGGAACCAAGGGGAGCATGCCTCAGGCAGAGAGGTAGTCTGTCTGTCTGTCTGTCTGTCTGTCTGTCTGTCTCTCTCTCTCTCTCTCCCCACAAAGACTGGAGGAATGAGTCCAGAGCTGGTATAGATTTCAGAGTCAGGGCTCTCAGGAGATTTTTGTCGTGATCACAGGATAGCTGTGGAATTCCCAGGCATTTGTCCTCATTCAACAAAGGAAGGTGGCCGGGCCTTAGGAGAAATGGTGACAGTCTATGATATGTATTCTTCCTAGTGAGCAAACAAAGCCTTTTGGAAGATCAAAGTGGACTCTCTCTCCAGTCTCACTGAGTCATATAACCAGCTGTAGCTGCCAAGGAGACCAGAACACATAAGGAAGAAGTTGGAAAATATTGGTTGCTTTGACATGACACAGAAGTCACACCTGTAGCCTGGCATCTTAGACTCATGTAGTCCTGATGGTGAGAGGGGGACACTCCGAGCTGAGAACTGGTTTACACGTCTTAGAGCCTGCAAGGTGCTGCTTTGGGCCTAGAAATCGAAGAGTGGCCGTTCTTGCCAGCTTTGCTGACACCTGGATGCCCCATGGGTTCTGAAACATGGTGCTCTTGGCTTGGGTCTTGACCTTCTCATAGCGGACATCACAAAACAGTGGGAGTCCCGTTATGTGACACAAGAAGCCAGAGCAGGGAAGGAAGAACATAACCACTCCATCCCCCTCCTGCCATACAACCCGACCCCAAGATGCCAACGGCAACCCCGTGGCCCTCTTGGGAGTCAATAACTGAGGAGAGACTGAATTACTTGGGCAGGGAGTGGCAAGATGGAAACCTTTGGATTGATAAGACTACCTGGAGATTTCTTCGTAAGTCTGAAAGCAGCTTACAAGTTTGTCTTCACTTTCCCTACTTTCTGCAACAACCCACAAAAACGGAAGATGTTTAGCTCTAAGCCACTGCTAACAACAGTGTGTGGCCAGTGAGCTTCTGCCTTCCTCTGCCCTCTCTGCCAAATCTGAGTTGCTTGTGACACACAGCCCGGCTCAGGGGGAGGACTACAAACCACAGAGCTTGCCTCTTTCCCTTTCTTCTTCCTCACCTGACTTATGCCACTTTGCCTTCCCTCTGCCCCTACACTTTCTGCAAAGCTCTTGCTTGGCCCCTCTGGCTCCATGATGAGCTCTGCTCTCTCTTACCAGGTTCAGGTTCAGAGTCTGGCACATCCGTTGGCGGCTTCTTTGAGCGTCCCATCTCGTGTCTTTGTCCATCCACTCATTCTCAAACATTCAGTCGATGCCTCCTGTGTCTGTTTTGTTCTCCACGTACTTCTGAGCCAAAGGCACATTTTTTGAGAGCGGCACACACAGCTGAACAAAGAGGACTTAGGAGTTTGCTATGAGCACACAGGCAGTGTCTGTGTGCACACGGGACGATGCTAGCCCAAAGGAAGAAGAGGTGGTGTGTGGGCAGTAAATGTATCAAAATATTTTCAGCTGAACTCAGGCAGTACGGATGGAAGACATGCTGCGGGGGACAGAGCTGTCTGACTTCATGGATACTGATCCCCGCTCCCACAGTAAGACATGGATTTGGTCCAGACTGCCTGGGAAGAGGCAATGCAGGTCCCCTGATGATGAAGGGCCTGTCTTCAGGCCCGTTAACGATGATTAGACTAAGACAGTTCATACATCCAGAACAATTGTGAGTCTTCAGGAGAAAGTCCTGGTCCATGTACTCCACGATCAGAGGTAGGTGGTTTTAGCCACCACGGCGGTCTTGTGACTATGAAACAAAAGGCAAGATGATCACAAAGATGCTAACTCCCCAGGGGGACCCCCAACCACAATGATTTCTTTACATATACCATAAGATGTGTTATCTCAGGGCTGGAGAGATGGCTCATGCTCCCAGGACCCAGGTTTGGTTCTCAGCAACCATACTGTGGCTCACAACCATCTATAACTCCAATTCCAGGGATCTAACATCCTCCTCCAGCCTTTCACACACTGTATGCATATATATATATATATATATATATATATATATATATATATGAAGACAAAACATTCACACATGTAAAATAAAATTAAATAAAATTGTTTTCAAGATCATCATCTTAGCATTGGTAAACATATAGTTCAGTAGCTAAGTACATTCACACTGTTGTGCAGCTTTTACCACCATCCTCTCTAGAGTTCTTTCCATGTAAAAAACTCAAACTCTACCCATCAGACGGTGACTCCCTATTACTCCCTTCACCTAGTCCCTGAAAATCCCCTCCTACTTCTGTCTGTGTGAATTTGAACCCCTTAGGTACCACATATAAGTAGAAACTTATGTGTTTTGTAACTAGCTTGTTTCACTTACCACAATGTCCTTGAAGTTCGTCCATATTATAGCATGTGTCAAAACTTCCTTCTTTTTTACAGTTGAGCAGTATTCTGTAGTATGTCTACACTACACCTTGTTTTTCCATTCATCTTTTAGTGGGTGCTTAGTTGCTTCCACTTTTTGTCTACTGTGAATGATGCTGCTGTGGAGATTAATGAACAAATGTCTCCTCAAGACCCTGCTTTCAATTCTTTTACACAGAAGTGTAGAATTGTATGGTAGTTCTTTTTCTATTTTTGTAACAGTAAACATTTCTTCTCTATGAAAAAAAAGTATAATTGTTTAAGACATTTCTGAACATTTTCTGTTAGTTACAGCCTAAGATCTCCTAACTGTGCCCATGAAGGATGGGAGCTGGAAAGCTGTCCAGAGGAAGTGGTGTACATACAGAAGTGCTCCCGTAGGGGATTGCAGACTGCTTTGCACATCAGCACACACAAGTGAGGGATGGATCTCACTTTACGTGAAGCAACTGAAACCCCTGCTTACTAAGAAACGACTGCTTTAAATGTGTTAGGTAACCAAGAATCCCTTGGAGAGTCAAAGAACCAAACTGCAAAACTTACCAGTCACGAACAATGCCCGGTTTACATGGCCAGTGGGCAGACACTGTGGTCTGTGCAGGAAGAGTCGCCCAGGGTTTGGTGGCCTTATTGCCTGAAGTCTCTCTCAGACATCATACGCGCTCCACCTTCAATGCAGCCTTCTCCAGCCCTTGCCTCCTTCCTCATCTTCCCGTGAATCAAAGCTTTGTATGGCTATAATACGCTATGGGAAACTGAGTTATGCATATGCATCCCAGCTGAGAGCAAGGCTTCTCTCGGGCCAAAAACATGTGACAGAAATTCAGGGACATTTGACAATACAACTGGCATGGGTCCACTAAGAATATCAGCCTTGTCAAACTCACCCCCGCCATCTAGCAATCACGGTACTGGAAGGTACTCCGCATGCTACCATAGAAGGGTAGTTAGTTCATCAACCCAGCTACAAACCCTGTGTGACCTACAATGGTGACCTGCCTGGGAGATATGCTGGTGCAATGGTGGCTCAAATGTTGTGGGAGTAACCAACCACCCACTCTCTGATGGTGTGAACGGCCTACTCCATGAGATGGAACCCATGCCGGACACTGTTTGTGCAGCCAAGAACCTGAGACTGGATAGGCCAGGGGCCTAGGAGAAAATCAATTGCTATCGCTTTGCTAAAGGATTACAGGGATAAAATGGCGTCTAGCAATATTCTGCTATATCCATAGATCACTGTCTCGCTCAACCTTCATCAGAAAGGCTTCTTACGGGAGAGAGGAGCTGACACAGACTCATAACCAGACAGTGTGCAGTGAGTGAGAAACTTTAGAACCCTTGGTCCAAAATGGGACGAATGTTTTCATCAACCCCATCTTCACCCCAGGGCTCAGGACCTACTCGGAAGAAGAGGTGGAAAGACTGTAAGACACAACAGGACTGGTGCACATATGAATGCAGTGTCTGTGGCAGCAGGCACAGGGTATGCACAGGTTCAAGCTAGATGAGATCCCAGCACTGAGAAATGGAAGTGGACATGGGCAAGCTGTCAGCAATTGATACCTGCTTACAAAGGCAAAGTTAGTCAGTCATTGGGTATAGAAACCACACTCCAGTGTAGGCATCATGTGACTTGGACATTTTTTTGTCTTAATGGTCTTTTGTTTGTATATTTTGGTTCCCATTTTTGTTCTTGTGGGTTTTTGTTTTGGGTCGTGTGTGTGTGTGTGTGTGTGTGTGTGTGTGTGTGTGTGTGTGTGTTGTGGTTTTGTTTGTTGGTTTTTGTTTTTTTTAGAGAGAAAGGGCATGGAGTTGGGTGGGTTGGGGTGGGGGGATCTTGAAGGGATTGGGGAAAGTGTAATCAGAATATATTGCATGTAAACTATTTTTTTTTCAGTTAAAAAATATTGTGCTTGAGAAAGACAAGGAAAAATTGAGGAACTGCCCCAGGTTAAAAGAAAACAAAGACAACCAGTGGATGTCATTCAGAAGCAGGACTTTCTTTTTCTGTAAAGATGATTGTTGAGTTAATAGAAGAGCGAATGAAGCCTATAGATGAGCTAGTGTCTTAGTAATATTGCTCTCCTGGCTCTAAGTACACCAGGTGGGGCAAAGGAATTCTTCAGTTTAAGAAACACACACGGACTATTTAGGGTGGAGAGCCACCTACTTCTAAATGGTTCTGGAACACAGGACACGTGACCCGGCAAAGCCAAGACGGAAGTCTTAGTAAGCACTACAGTCAGGCATGAGGTCTGGGGTTCACACCCCAAGCACCCACATAAAGGCCAGGTAGGTATAGAAGCACACCTGGAATCCCAGCTGTTTGGAGGCCCAGACAGGGGATCCCTGAGGCAACCCTGCTAACTACACTAGCCAAATCGGCAAGCTCTGGATTCAACAAGACCTTGCCTCGGTAACTTAAGTGGCGAGCTGTGGACAAAGACACCTGTCCACTTCCAACCTCCACACAAATGCACACACCTACAACGACACACTTTTGGACCTAACAAATTAGATGCAGGCACCTGTGGTTGTCAAGACTCAGCGATGTTTCATACTGCCTTTGGGTCAAGATTCCTCCTCTGAGCTGGTAAACTCACCACCTGGGGCCAGGCCATCTACCAAGCGCCTTTCTCAATGCAATGACAGCAGGCCTAAGGAGATACCCCTGAAAGCTGGGCCGTTCATCTCTCTTCCCCGGGAACAGAGAGCTATTCAGATTCCAGGCTTCAGTGGGCCCTAGGAACGAGAGTTCTCTGGACCTAGAGCCTTCTGGAGGGAGTGTCCCTCTGTGCAGTCTACAAGTATTCAGAAGTGGCCTTGGAGTTGATGTATTAATATTAATAATAACTTTGCCTCCTGAATCTCTGGGTCCCACCCCAATCAATTTCTCATGCCTCAACTTTCTTAGACTTTTCTCTTAGAAAGAAATCAGACAGGGTCTCTGGACCACCTACCATGGCACCACCATACCTCCCAAAGAACCTCCTTTGGTGGTACAGTGTTTTCTTCTGATGTCTGGGTGATAAGTGGCAAGGTGAACCTCCCCGCTTCATTTGCCTGCAACAGGACAGTACAATAGCTGCCTCCTTATTTCCCAGTATGTGTGGAGGACCCCTGCTCACGATTTGCAAGAGTCTGAGGCCTACTCTGCGGCTAGCGTTAGACATGCTGGTCTCTTGTAAAACATGAGATGTCGCTGGAGTATGAACGACTGGTGGAATCCCAGGGCAAGAAGCCGAAGCTCCTGCTCTAGATGACAGAACAGGTAGACGAGAGTGCAGAGAAGAGAAAGCGTCCTGGGGAGAGCTTCCCCCAAGGCCTGAGCTGGTGGGCTGAGAAAGAACAGGAACTGAAGGGTAGGCTGAGGAAATGTGGGAGACACGTGTTGGCAGTCGTCAGCTGGTAGATGGAGTAGACGGGCTAGAACTGCAGTTCAGAACAATGTCCGGGTAACCTCCATCACTGGTACCTGGGAAGGGAGGCTCCTCAGAGCACCGTTACAGTCTCAGCAGTAATGCCAGGTCATGCTAGGACATGCCATCTGGGACGGGGCCGTTCTTCCATCCCTCTTCTTCTGGACCCTGCCTCCCCCAGAGGAGACGGCAACCTCAGCGAGTAGAAAGAGAGACCACAAAAAAGGCAAGAAGTGAGCAGAGCCCTACCTCAGTTCTGCAGTAGCCTCCCAGCCCGTGGCAGGCCCGATTCAAAGGAGAGGGGCAGCTGCAGCTTTGACTGTTGTCCTCAACTAGATGCTTAAATGGCTGAGAAGGGTGACGGGGATGCTGCCAGACTTCACTTAGAGCTGGAAAAGAAGCAGCATTAGGGAGAAGAGGCCAGGGAAAATAAAATGGTTTTGCTGCCTCTACAGAGCCCAGCTTACACTTGCCTGTGACAGAGTTGCTAGCTCTCCCCCCAAGGATCTGCCCCGCCCCTGGAGCAGGGTCCTCTTTCCTGGAGGCCTATTCAGTCAGTCTCAGGTGCAGCCTGTCTGCTTCTCAAATACTTCTCTTCTTCTGCCTCTCCGGGGCTAACCCCCATTCAGCCTTTCCACATCACAAACACCCCAGAAGCGGCTCAGAAGTTGCCCTGGCCATCAGACACGACTGTTTCCCAGAGCTGACCTCCCCCAGTCCTCACCCCTGGAAAACTGCCCAGGGGGCAGCGGAGCTTCTGAAGAGGGCAACAAAGAGGACTGATGAGGACCGCGCTTGGCAGTCAGGGCGCATCGGCTCAAATCCTAGAGAGTCTGTGGATCAGCTCTGCTCCGAGCCAGCACAGTAGCATGAGAATAACAGGAACAGACGCCGACATTAGCCATAAATGTCAGAGTCTTGTACAGCAGGTGCCGTCGACCTGCAGGGCCCGCTTGAAGTGCCCGGTTCAGGATTTACACCCAGCACCACTTCCTGTGTTTTGTAGAGGGGAGAGAGATTCTGCAAAGAATTGTCCTTGTGCCTGCATTCTTGACTCTCGCTCCTCACTGCTGATTGATTGATGGTTCCTCCACGCCAGGCTTTGTTGCCAGAGGGAATTTGGGTCAGCTCTCTCACTAGCTCTCTCTCTCTTTTTTTTTTTTAATTAAGTTTTATTGTATGGGTGTTTTGCTTGCATATATGTCTATGCATCATGTGCATGCCTGGAGCCCCGAGAGGCCAGACAAAGGTGTTGGACGCCCTGGAACTGGAGTTACAGACGATAGTGAGCTGTCATCTGCGTGCTGGGAATTGAACCCAGGTCCTCTGGAGGAGGAGCCTCTTCTCTTAACCACTGAGCCATCTCTCCAGCCTTGTTAGCCAGCCCTTCATTGGCTCCACTTTCTTTCTGCTGAGACTTTAGAAGCATTTGAAGGTACCATTTAACCAACTACCACTTCATTATTTTCCCAAGGCATTGAGGAGGGGGTTAGGGACCTGGAACTTTCCATGAGCATAGCTAGGTGGGTCTCCAGCCTGCATTCCCTGAAGGTGCCCATGCAGATGTGTGCCAGCCAAGTTAATGACAGGGATCCTGGGAGACCCTACCTGTATCTTAAGAGTGTGGGATTCAGCTGGACTCAGCCTGAATGAAGTTCACGAAGCTGCTGGGTTTGTAGGGGCTGCATGGCCTGAGGTACTCTTTTTTTTGGGGGGGGGGCGTTTCAAGACAGGGTTTCTCTGTGCAGCTTTGGAGCCTTTCCTGGAACTCACTCTGTAGCCCAGGCTGGCCTCGAACTCACAGAGATCTGCCTGCCTCTGACTCCCAAGTGCTGGGATTAAAGGCGTGTGCCACCACTGCCCGGCGGCCTGAGGTACTCTTACCAACTGAATGACTGGTGTGTGTCTCCAGGATTTCTGATGAATGGATAGACCTGCCCAAACAAAGACATTTCCTGGGACAGAACAGATGAAACAAGTGCACAGTTGCTCGACATGTCCAGTCTTCTTTTCAGAGCTGTTGTTTTATCAGTTAAAAGTGACCAGAAGAGCACACTGGAGGAGGGGAACGTGCCATCATAATTCAAAAGGAAGGAAGCTGGAGGACACCTGAAGTCACTCTGGCCAAAGGGCGCATGCGACCTCCTGCTCCGACATCCAGGCCTTTAACAGCCTCCTCCAGGAGCTAAACGTATTCCAAAGTATTTTAAATAGGCAAGCTGGAGCCTTCGGGATAAAAGTCTGTCCACATTTTTTGACCAGTTTTATCATGGCCTTGTTCAGTTCTGAAGTGAAATCGTAAACGTTCTTTCATCACCTTCCACAATTTCAGCTTTGCTGAAAAGAAAAATGCTGCCTGGATTGAGAGGTTGAGTGAATAACTTGAGTCCACAAAAGTACTCAGATGAGGAAAAAACGGGGAAACCAGATCATCATTGATAAAAGGAACTTGCTTCCCAACCAGTCTAGGGGAAATAATTCTGCCTCATTAGTGCACAGATCTATGAAAATGACCTACATGTAAATACTAAAATGCAAGCACACACCCCTTCTTCTGAATTATCAGAAAATGCCAGTAACTCAGGGGGCCATGTGTGGTGGCCAGCATATTTGACCCCAGCACCCAGGAGGTAGAAGTCTGTGCTTCTCTGAGAGTTCTGGGCCAACTAGGTCTACATAATGAGTCCTGTCTCAAAAATAAAATAAAATAAAATAAAATAAAATAAAATAAAATAAAATAAAATAAAATAGAGGCTGGAAAGATGGCTAAGTGGTTAAGAGCACTTGTTCTTGCAAAGGACCTGAATTAGATTACCAGCACCCACGTGGAGGCTAGCTAACAATCATCAATAACTTTAATCCCAAGGGGATCCAAGGCTCTCTTCTGACCTACAGGGGTGCCAGGCACTCACACAGTACACAGCCATACATGCAGGCAAAACACCCATTAAACACATAAAATTAAAAAAAAAATTACAACTGAGAGCCAGGAGATACCTCTCATAGGTCATTTTACAGTCTAGTGGGTGATTCAGAAATAGGCTGGAACTGACAGGCTACAGAAATAGTTTCTATCGTCAGGATGTATTTATCTCATTAAGAGATAAAGTGATGTTGCTACACAACCCACCATGAATGAGCTGATTTGCAGGTTTAAATGAATGAATGGGTTTAAAACTAGTAAAGAAATCAGAAAAGACAAAGTAGTGAATGATTGCTCATCAGAATAGAGAAGAGTAGAGATAGGCAGATAGCCTTTAAATACATTCATTAATAATATAGGGAAGGAAGTGGACTGCAAGATCGGGTCTGGTGCAACATTGTTGCAGTTACCAAACACCATGAAGAAAGGAGAGGAACTCTAGATGAATTCAAAACCCAGAGCAAGAGCCGGAGAGGAAATGAGATGAAAAAACAGCCTTGCAGTTCGAATGTCAATCTTAGCAGTCTGTAAAACTTGATTTCCCAGACGCCTTATATTAAGGAAACAATGACCAGTAAAGATTTCTTCAGCTGGAAACATTCACATCCTTAAATGATCATTCACAAATGGAGTAATTAGAAGCAACTTCAGATGAAAAAAAGAAAGGAAACTAGAGAGTCTTTAGTGGTACGGTGTGCTAATTTTGAACTCTGCAACAGGAAGATGTCCTAGGAGGAAAAACTGATGTTACTTCAAGTGAAATTGTTTTTATAACTTTAGTAACAATTTAGTATCAGAGCGAAGGGAAATTAGAAGACTGGTATAGACACCAATATTTTTCAAAGAAAAAGCTAGCTTTGGATGTCTAATTACAGGATGTTATTCAAGTTTTCAATTCTGATGCCTGCCGTTTGGACGGCTATGAGAACAAATTACAAGTGAGAAACTTCAAAATAGGGAAGAAGCTCCAAGTCTGCAGAGCAGAGGAAGTGAGTTAATGCATCACCCATTCATGCATCGAACATACCGAAATCATTAGGACACTGAATGTAAGAGGTGAAACACCTAATCAACCACCCCTCCGTTGTTCTCCCATAGTGCAAGGAGGGATTCTTTTTTTGTTTGTTTTTTTTGAGACAGGGTTTCTCTGTGTAGCTTTGCACCTTTCCTGGAACTCAATTTGTAGCCCAGGCTGGCCTCGAACTCACAGAGATCCACCTGCCTCTGCCTCCCGAATGCTGGGATTAAAGGAGTGCGCCACCACCACCGCCCGTCTGCAAGGAGGGCTTCTTATACACCTGGTAGAAAGTAATCACACCAGGCCACGTGAGAATTGCTGTCCACACAGAAACCGACAGGAGAATGAGGAGGCAATGAGGCAGCCCTCCAGCAGGCTTTGTTTGTTTGTTGTTTTGAGGCAGGGTAGCCCTGGCTGGACTGGAACTTGATATGTAGACCAGGCTCACAGAAATGGGCCTGCAATTGCCTCCCAAGTGCTGAGATGAAGGCACATGTCCCTGTTCCTGGTTTAGGGAGCTGCTCAACACCAGGCTGTTGGGGAAAGTGACCGAGGTAAGAGGACTATGAGGTGGGCTGGGTCTAGTCTCCACCCTGAACACCTGGCTGAGGAAGCTGGACTTTATTCATTAGTCATCTTGAACACTCTTCATGACCTGCACTGTACACTTGCTTGGTAAGATGAATGAAGCCATTGATAGGGTTTGGGTTGTCCTTGTTTTGTTTCCCACAAGAAGTACCAAGCTTCAGTTTTTCCTTTAGATTAAGACTAAATGGTGTTGAACGGGAACGAGAGGGGTAGACCTGTTATAAGAATTCCTGTCAAGAGCAGGAAGTGGCATTTACTGACTAATCTTGCTAGATGCCTCCCAGACATGTTCTCAACAATTGTTTAAGACCAATGACAGAGGGAAGAGTCAGGGCAGCATTTCCATTCTGCACTAGAGAAACACACAGACGTCCAAACCCACAGGACAGCGCTGCTCTCAACCTCAGCCGGGAGCCTCCTTGTTCGGTGGACAGAGGTTGATGTGGAGATCCATAGGAGCTGGGACAGAGAAGTGCTCGGCCCTAAATGAGACACGCACACCAACTACCTCTGAGGTTCACAGACCTTCAAGGAAGATGGGGCAGGAAGAGTGTAAGAGCCTGAGGATGGGAAGCATGCTGTGAAATGCTGTCTTCGGGACTTGACACGGCCTTTGTGCTCCTGAACTCACGGCAGCTGTGGTTACTGACACACGCTCACGGATTGGGAGGGGCTCGTGAGAACCCTCCCCTCTTGGAGGAGCTACAGGCAGTTAGTCGATGGCTGCTGGGGGAGGGGAATCGTTTTCTTCAGTGGTGCAGCCACTGTTAAGTCACTCCAGTCAATCAATCTCGACTCACAGTCCTGATTAAACTACCACACACACACACACACACACACACACACACACACACACACAAACTGGGACTTTTGGGGGAAAGCGTGGGAGAGTGATAAGGGAGGGTAATGGGGGTGAATATGATCAAAATGAAGTGTGTGTGTGTGTGTGTGTGTGTGTGTGTGTGTGTGTGAAGTTATCAGAGAAGAGAGCACAGGACATACAGAAATCAAAGTGAGACCGAGCTGGAAGCTTCTTCCAGCTAGCGAGCCCTCACAGTGCCAGAGGATGCCATGCAGACTTGGTGGAGAATTGTCATCAGTAGTCTCGCGCAGCTGTGGTCCCTACTTGCTCCATTACTGACCTCTCAGGCAAAGGGTACCTGCTGATGCACCAGTGGTATGTCCGCTATGGGGGTTACCAACCACTTCCTGCCTGGAATTGAGGTCTGCTCCCTAAGAGGGAAGTCACATCTGGTACTATCAATCTGATTAAAAGCACATGGCTGGGGAGGCCACAGGCCTTAATAGGGAGGCTATACACAAGAATTGTGCTTGTGCCCATGAATTAGTGATGCTGTCAGGTTTGGTTATAGAAGCTTTTTTTTTTTTTTTTCCCCCCTGCAATGGGCAGAGACTCCTAACTGGTCAAGATACCGAGACGAGAAGACTCTGAGGACTCGGCCTCAAACAGCACCTCTCCATCACCTCCTCTGAGGCTCAGGTCACGTTGAGGAAAAGATGGCAGAAAGAAAGCAAGAGAAAGAGGATAGAGTAGAGTGTTGTGGAATCTTCTGGGCATGACATGACATGTCCCATTACATTCCTTTTAAAGAGATATTTCAATTTATTTTTATGTGTGTGTGTGTTTGCACACAAGTATGTATGTATACCTCACGAGTGCCTGGTGTCCCCGGAGATCAGAAGGAGTTGCATCCCCTGGAACTAGAGTTACAGATCCACCACATTGGTGCTGGGAACTCCTCTGCAAGAGCTGTAAGTGCTCTTAACCACTGAGCCACCTCTCCGGCCATGACAGTCTTTACCTGACAGCAGCTGTGGCCATCTGTCCAAGATCTGCACAAGACTGGGGTGTGGAGTCGGGAGGGACTGACGACGAGGATTTCTAGGCCGTTAATGGTTGCTGGCGGAGAAAGAAACATTTTCTTCAGTAGTGTAGCCACTGGTGAGTGCCCACGCTCCTGTAACTAACCCCTCACCTAATGATCCTGGAAACAATTATCAAAAATTCATTGGCATGCAGGCCTGTGAGTAAAGGCTCTTGAGACCGAAACAAATGACCTCAGCTAATCCCTAGGATCCACGTGGAGGCAGGAGAAGCAACTCCCAAAAGTTGTCCACTGACCTCGGGTGGATCAGTGTAGAACAGGGCTAGCAAGGAAGAGGAAGGGATTCAGAGGAAGCGGAGGGTGGCAAAAAAGGGTAATAGCAGGGTGAATATGATAACTACATCATACACACGTATGAAAATGTTTTCATGAAACCCATTATTATGCATAATTAATGCATACTAATAAAGCATTACAAGTTTTAAAATAGAAAAACGCCGGTCTCCAGCACGTGGGCGTGAGCTCTGATTTGGGAAGGGAGGAGAAATGAAGTTTGGATTTACTGCTTGTGAGGACAAAATGCCCGTAAGAGGAGGTATGCAAGCTCACTTTCTCTGAAGACTGCAGCATACAGGAAAGGAGTTATCTCGCATCCCAAGCCGGATAAGAAGCCTTGCTCTGCCGCCTAAGACGCCTAGCAAGCCTAGGTCACTGTCGGACTAACTGGCCTTTACACAAGTGGCTTCTGCTCTTCAAAACACTTCCGCTCCTGCTTTTCTTCGGTTCACCCTTCCCAGGAAGGGTTCATTCCCAGGAAGGCTCTCCCTTAGTTTCCTCATCTGACTTCTCTCTTCTGTGGGCCCCCCTCTGCCTTCTTGTGTGTTCCCTTCCAGATTGAGGTGCTCAAGGGCCGGGGCTCTCTATCTCTTGACCTAAGGCCATCTCTATATGTCTGACCCTTTTAAAAAAAAATCTCTTGACTGACTGGCAAAGAACAACCCTTCTCCATTAAAGTCAGTTTCTTCCTTCTTAGGGCAGCGCAGTTAACGACCTCAGGACCAGGAAATCATCCCCCTCATCACATACCAGGGTATTATTCACGCAGTTTACTCACTGTAAACAGTTCCCTTAAGATAGTGGCAACAACTAGTTGAAGATTTACAAACTTCCCAGGGCCAATCTACTTTCTGAAAAGCCTGGTTATGGGAGTGGGAAACAGGTCACCTTTCTGATTCTGAAACACCCAAGGGGCGATAAATTCAGAATTTCTCTGGGTCTCGGGCTGCATAGGAGTCTGTGGTCCTTCTCTTGAACCATTTTTTTTGCGGAGCAGTGTACTTAGAGCAGAGGTTGTGTGAGTGGTTTGTCTCTGTCTTCGGGAGCATTCTGGACACGGTTGGAAGAATCTCTAACACATCTCTTAGTTGCTGAACGTTCGTCAAAATGCCCAAACTTTTTCTTTGAACCTGGAGTCGCACTGACGGAAGACTTCTATTTTCCTTGAGCATTAGGGGATCTGGAGGTCCGTTCGTGAGGGACGCCCAACTCCCAGGGTCCTGGGGATCACAGCAGAGCCAGGGTTCCCCTTGGGCTTCCCCCGCAACGACTTGCCCAAGGCCGAGAGCTGGAACCGGGTCCCTGCAAGGGCGCAGGACGGGCGGGCACGGCGCGAGGGGGCGGGGCGAGCCAGCCCGAGGCCGGGGCGGGGCCAGAGCGC